ACTAGAAAAATCATTTTAAAACTATCTTTGCTCATAAACTTTATCTGGGGAATTTTTCTAATAAAGAAAATGAAGAAAAGGCGGGCGATTAAATAAAATAAACCCTAGAAAATTAGAAAATTTCCGGGTTCTCAAACTCATTTTTTTTTCGGGGCGTCACATTATCCATTTGTTTTGTCATCATCAAAAGATACAGACTAAGATGAACAATCTCCCCATTTTTTATGATGACAAAACAATGGATGGAGCAAAAGAAATTTTAAGTATAGCTCCTCCTTACACATACTCCCCCTTACATAATGCATCTCCCTTCAGCTCAAAAGAAGTTGACTCCCCCTCACGTAGAGAGTTCATATTCAATCCATTTCTCCCCCTTTTTGTCATCATTAAATCAACCATGCTCAACATTCATGCAACAAATTCATTACAGACCAACAGACATTCATCCAGAATATTGTCCAACAAATTCATATCCAGAATATTGTCTAACAAACAGTGTCAGACATTCATCCAAAAACATAGGAATAACAAGTCACGAGTTCAAAGCACACACAAAATATCCAAATATTCTTACAGACCAGCAGTGAAAGGGAAAGTAGAAGTCTTAATACAAAACACATAAAGTTTGAAACGCAAAGGATGCCAAGAACTAATTATGAACTACCATGAGGTGCATGTGCTTAGGAGTGCCTAAAATGTGATCTTGGAGGATCCAGGCCTTCTTCTAGCCAGACAAAACTGAGCAGGGTCTTCTTCCTCAGTGTCCTCATCCTTATCATCGTCATCCTCTTCTTCAGTTTCTTTTTCAATTACCGGAGCTTTTCCCTTGTCTTGTGGTTGAGAACTGGAGGCACGGTACTCTGGGGTGGCCTCAGTGGTTGGTTCAGTTCTAGGCTCCTTTCGGCGTGCATTTTCATTTTCAGGAGGAATGGGAGGTACGAGCAGATTCCTTTTGGCAACAAAGGTGGCTTGTTGATCAGAAGTCATGGTCATCATCAAGCCATCTTCAAGAAGCAAGATATGTTGTTTGAGGTCCTCAAGCAGAGTGATGACCTCAAGGTTGGATAAAGGAAATTTAGATGCTGATTTTCTGGGATGAATGGTGAAGGGTGTCACATACATTGACTGGTCATGAGGAGTCCTAGGGGTGACAAGGGTTTCATGAAGATTTTTTCTTCTAGACTCAGAGACAGTTTCTTTGTAGCACCAGTGATCCTCAAAAAATTTCTGATTTTTCCTCTCAAAGTAAGCCTTTGAAAACACAGTTGATGCACTCTCTTTTGGGGATTTGCCAGAAAAAGGAATTTCAAAATGATTGAAAATAGGAGTGAGAAATTTTTCATAGGACAGTTTCCTACGGCTGTCAGAACTTATTTTGAGCAGAAACTTACACATGACAAAACCAAAATCAATTCGAATTTTTTCCAGAAAATAGTAGAACAAGTAAAGTTCCATTTTATTTGCATCAATTCGGTGGCCATCAGTGGGCACCAACAAGTTTGAAATTATGGTGAAAATAATCAGATTCTGAGGGCTCAGATCCTCCAATCTAGCCTCAACAGGAGTATTAAAATGAGATTGAAAGTAGGTCATTAATTTTGCAACATGAAAGTGATGGTATGCAGAGGAAAATTCCTCGTATGAAAAGAAGTTTGCAATTTTGCCATTAAAACCACTTTCAATTTTTGTTTCCAAAACAGAGTTAACAATGTCAGGATTCAATTCAATGTTAACAGAGTTGACACGAGAGATGAGATCAGTATGTGATCTGCCTTTCCTAAAATTAGCAAAAAACTGATAGAGCATGTCAGGATAGTATGTGCTTGGAATTGTTAACAGATGGGTCCATTTTTGGAATTCAAACAGGTTGAGAACAGGTTCAAGATCAAGCTTACGGAATTCGTAGGGGATAATGGTCCTCTGGGCTCTTCTACGAAATCCATTCGAACTTGTCTCTACCTTCATCATCGATGAACTTGGATAGAGAAGTGGGTTGACTAGCAGTTTGAGTCTCAGGCTGCTCAGGCCGCTTTCTTTTTCCATTGCGCTGAGCAAATTGTGCAGCACTTTGGACACCAGACCTTGTCCTTGGTGATTTCCTGGTAGATGGTTCCTCATTTTGCTGTTCCTCAGCAGTTTTTTCTGCATTCTGCTGATCCCCAGAAGGATCAACAGTTTATTTTTCCTTGGTTTGAGCAATGCTCTTCCTTTTTGCAGTCCTTTTTTCCTTCTTGGGTGATTTGGTTACAGTTACATCTGCATTGGTGGGCTACGCTGGTTCCTCTTCGTTGTCACTCACTGGATGCTCCTCAGATTGCTGTTCCTCCATTTGCTCAATAGATGGTTCAGCAGATGGCTCTCTGGTCTACACATTCTATTTTTTTCTTGCAGATTGTTTCATTTTTCCACCACGATTTCCAATTTTCTTCTTGGATGATTTGATGGAGGGTTCAATAACTTGAACATCTTCATCCTCTTCGTCACGCAGTTTGAAAGAGCGTCCGGCACTCACGGATACCCCTCTAATCCTCACCATGATTGAAATGCAGTGGTGTTTGTGTTGTGTGATGTAGTGCCGATTGTAAATACCCGAAAATTATATTTATATTGATATTCTCAAAAATTATATATATATATATATTTGTATTCTAATCTAATTGCCTTGAATCTTTGGTTAATCTAACGGTTGAATCGTGATTTTACTCCTATTGCCTCATTCAATTTATTGCATGTTGGTTTTCTTGGGGTGATATACCAACTCGTCCAACTAGCGAGGTAGGTGCGATAAATTTTGTGAACTAGAGGGAGATTTGTACAAAAGGGGTTATTGTGCTGCAAAGTGTTTTCGAAACGTATTTGTTTCGAAATTCTCTACCTTGAATGAATTATATTTCTTAGTAATTGGAAAATGATTTATATATGATTTTATACCTTCTTGTTTCGGTCCAATAATTTTGAAAACATTTGCAAGGGTTTAATTGAAGTAGTCAAACTTATTTGGTTGTGCAAACTCTATTTGAGTGGAAATGAAGGGTTAATCTTGGCTAATTACTTTTAGAATTATTGGATTTTTGACTTTGAGCAGACTAGTTTTTATGAATAAATTGGTGCCCTTGCACCGACAGAAAAAAAAAAACTTAGAGATTACATGGCTTGAAAGGAGATTGTATGGTTAGAGTGGTAATTTGTAATTTGATGGTCATTTATATGGTTAAGTGAATCAATGAAATGAAGAATTTGGAAGTTATACATGAGGAAACAGGGATTTTTCGAAGGGAGGTAGAGCTCCCAAAAGAAATCAATTGAAACAAAAAGATGTGGAAATAGCTGAACAAGTACATGGGAATGAAAAGGGAAGATGAAAAGATATTAATGGGGTGGTAATAGCAATTTGAAAGGGGTGCACTCGAACAAGACCCTCTTGGCAAGAAAGTTCAATATGGTAAAGGAAGTTTCATGATACAAAAAGGAAATGTAAAGAGATGGGTGGAGTCAAATTGGCAATTAAGAAGGACAAATAGAAAGAAGAGGTATATATCTTCTACTTGTGACTTGTGAATGCTGTAACTAAGACTAGAACGTGTTAGCGGAAAACTGGTGTATATTATAGAAGTGGCAAGCTTAAACACCAAGTGAGGAACTATTCAAACAAATTAGTTAGGCTATGGTGATTCTACTATATTAGCTGCAGTGAACAACTAGTTGTGTCCTTGAATGTGTATCATGAATGCTTTACGTAATAGGATATATCTACTTGATGAACATGGGACTTGATACTTGATGTTTTTCCCTAGTGATAGTCAATGTTTGTCTTCGATTGGAGTTACATCTTGATATCCGATTATATGTGTTGTGCATTACTATTCTTGAGTTTAAGTGAGGATTCTTTCTTTGTGGTCCGTAATGAAGGAAATTCTATTAGAAAGGGGTAGTACACGTATAGGGATTTAATTGTAGACATGATCAGAGATTTACATAACAGACTAGTTGCCAGTGCATAGTGTATGAAGCCAACATTTAGTAAACGTAGCAAACAAGTTTCGTAGCTATGGTTCCTTTTCATCGAGTTCTAATTTTATATCCTCGTAAATATTCTAAGCCATCTTAGCCCTTCCTTAGAGCAATAGTTTAGCCATTACGTTCATACGACTATCCCTCAAGTAAACTTTAGTAGAAGCATCTAGGGTAGTAGGAAGCTACTTTGGAGTTGAGGAAAAACCCTGTAGAATCAAGCTTTGTATGAGCAAAGGTTGGAATTTCGAGGACGAAATTCTTTTAAGGAGGGAAGATTGTGAGAACCCGAAAATTATATTTATATTGATATTCTCAAAAATTATATATATATATATTTGTATTCTAATCTAATTGCCTTGAATCTTTGGTTAATCTAACAGTTGAATCGTGATTTTACTCCTATTGCCTCATTCAATTTATTGCATGTTGGTTTTCTTGGGGTGATATACCAACTCGTCCAACTAGCGAGGTAGGTGCGATAAATTTTGTGAACTAGAGGGAGATTTGTACAAAAGGGGTTATTGTGCTGCAAGGTGTTTTCGAAACGTATTTGTTTTGAAATTCTCTACCTTGAATGAATTATATTTCTTAGTAATTGGAAAATGATTTATATATGATTTTATACCTTCTTGTTTCGGTCCAATAATTTTGAAAACATTTGCAAGGGTTTAATTGAAGTAGTCAAACTTATTTGGTTGTGCAAACTCTATTTGAGTGGAAATGAAGGGTTAATCTTGGCTAATTACTTTTAGAATTATTGGATTTTTTACTTTGATCAAGACTAGTTTTAGTCTTCACCTTGGAAGCAAAATGGACCGAGACATTTCATTCCTTTTCTTACCTCTTGGCCGACCATGGAGTGGAAATATCAGCCATAATCTTCTTCTCTTGGCCGAAAATTTTGACTAAGCAAGAGAGTAGGAAAAAACAAATTTAAGGGAAAGCTGCCGGATTGTTTTCCTTGTCTTACTCCAATTGCCCAACCGAGAGAGACATATTTCTCCATTGCCTCCATTTTTGACCAAGTAGCATGCAAGTTGACTAAGCCAAATTTACTTCCTCTTGTTTCTTTTCTTTAGCTCAACCACCGAGAGAAAGAAAAACAAAGACAAACAAGACTGCTCACTTGTTTTGTCCCACCTTAGCCGAGAGAGAGTAGAGAGAGTTGAGAGGAAAAGGTTGTGGCTTGCACCCACCTTCCAGCCGAGAGAAAATTTGGGGAAAACAAAGAAATTTCCCTTGTTTTGTTTCCACTTCAGCCAAGAGGAACCAGCGAGAGAAAACTGAAAGGAAGCTTGAGTCTTGTTTCCATTTCCAACTTGTTTGATCGAGTAGAAGGACCAAAACAGGGGAGTTAACTTCTAGCTTGTTTTAAAGGTAACATGACTTGGAACTTTAATTTCTTTCACATACTTTAGAGGGCTTTTGATGTATATTTCCTTGAGGTTGGATTGAAGTAGAAATTGGTTGTAAAGACTGGATTTATTGCTGGAAATTTCTGGAAAACCAATGATAGGAAACATATGTTATACATTTACCTTAAGTTTATAAGAGGTTTGGCTGAAGAAATAAAGATTAAAATACTGACCAAGTGCTGGAAATGCTCAATAGAAGCTGTTATGTGATATTGTTGAGCTAAGCTGGGATTTTCTGATTGTTTCTTATGTGCATGACTGATATACACTCTCTAGTTCACGTATATGGACATGAATGTTAGACTTTAGCTAAGAATGAACCTTGCTGAAGAAAATTTAGATTAAAGGCTGATTGGGTGCTGGAAAATTTCTGAGATGACCGAGGCTAAGGAGCTAGAATTTTAACGCTTGTAACTGGAATTTCCTTGAAGACTCGTGTTAGCAGAAGTATGAAATATATCTACTTCAGGTTATATAGGATTACTAGCTGTGAAAGTCGTATATAAGTTGTTCTAGTTGCTATGCTGCACTCTTGGCTTTATTTTTAGATAACAATGGTGAGTTTCTGAAATAGAAGTCGTGTCAGATGCTTCAAAGAGAGAGCTGCTGTGAAAACCAATATACTACGGATTTGGGTGCCAATATCTATGTCTCTTGGTTCCTTAGGTAGTGCTCTTCAAGGACACAGTATATGATTAATTTCCATTTTAGATATATGACCAGGTTCCGTATAAGAATAATGGTAGTGAAGTTCAAATTTTCTCCTTTTATAAAACATGTCAATGTTTTGCGGAAGTGGGTATTTAAACTTTAGATTGCTATTCATTGGTGCAGTTAAGCTGCATGATGGTTGGCTTAGTCTGGTTGCTATTCATTGGTGTAGTGGAACAAAACCCAAACTACAAACAACTTAGAATCCATGACTATTGAATAGAAAATGATTTAATCTTAGTCTACACATCTTACAAAACTTTCAACTTGGCATATACGTATATCTTTGGTTTTTGTTGAAATTTGATGCTTAAATTATGTTACAATTGCTGGTATGAATGTCATACTTAATGTATGGGTGGTTGGAATAAAAGTCTTGTGGTTTTAAAAGAGAAAAAAGAGTTTTTCACAAGTGAAATTGAGTTTCCAGATTTTCGGATTTCACTGACCAGTTTCAGTAAAATGCTTATATCTTGGTGTAGAAAAATCCGATTGAGGTGTCGTCAGTGGCATTTGAAACTAGACTCATGGGTCTTTGTTCTGTAAAACTTTCATATTTTTTCGCCATGTGTACTGCTGTCCGTGACTCCTCAAAGTAGGCTGCCCTGCTTGAATGTCCTGTTTCTTCAGGAAAATGAATTTTTGACTTGGATCGAATATTTGGCCTATTTGTGATTTTAATCTCTAAAAAGTGTCTTCTGGGATGTGGTAGTACTAAAAATATATTTTACAACGGTATAACTTTCATAATTTTTTGACTTGTGGAACTCGAGTTACGAATTTTTAAAGTTTACTGTTACTATTCATCTCGGTAGATTCCTAAAGCAGAGAAACAGGCTTCTTGACTTTGAAACCTCGGACGGCCTACTTCCAACCTCTTACCTTGATTTTTCCACTTCCTTGACTTCAAATGTACCCCTATTGAACTTCTCTCGCTAATGTATCTCTTATTTCCTCAAAGTTTTACTCTTTTAACAAGTTATCTTAATTAAAACGGTCAAGACTTGTACTTAGCTTTTAGCCACTCTTTTCGAATTTCCAAGTGAAGCTTACTTGCTAGAATTGCCTTGTATTTGGATGACTTTTAGCCTATTGAACGACTATTGTGATGAGATTATTTATATGTGTTTTGGGGCTGATTGAAAAAAAGAATGAAGCCATAAATGGCTGGAAAATAGGTAAATACCAAGGGCGTGCTGCCCAAATTTGCACTCGAGGGCTAGGTAGATATACTTGTGACTCGAGTAAGGCTTGAGAGCGAATACCACGTGAACCATCTAGAATATTTGCGTCTTCTTTTATCGAGGTATATGAGTTAGAATTCGGCCGAAACTTGTACCCTTGGAAAAATAAAAATTACGACTAATAGAAATACGTTTTCTCCATTTCTTCGACTCAAATGGTATTTCAAAGTATAATTGCTTCAAAGTTACAAAGGTTTAAGAGCGAGCATGAATTGTTCGGCATTTGATAAGTATCGTGAATACCACTTAAACGATTTGCATTTACTTGATTTTCTTGAAGCGAAACTCCTATGTTTCGAACTTTAGAGAGTTTTACATGCATAAATGATATTTTATCGCAGATTTGGACTCCAACCAAGGAGTTGGACCTGAATGTGACTTTTGAGAGGCACTAGACCTTTGGTGAGTGCTTCCAAATACCTAATTGAACTGGACACTAGTTTTAATATTTGACCAATATGGTCGAATGATATGTGATTGGTATGATCGAGCAAGGGTGTACTTTATCGCACTTGCCCTAATGTGATATGTACTTGTTTATTGTTGCAATTGATTTGAGATACTTGTACGTGACTTGTAAGTACTGAGCGGCAGTATGTACCACACTCGATCTGAGTGGGAGGTACCTCTCATTGCCGTCTCCGTACTTTTATCTTGATTCAATCGATTGGAGTGTTATCTCATCGACTTTTTGGGGACCCAAACCCCATTGGCTAGTTAATCGAGTCGAGCCGGCAAGGGCCTGGTCGATTAGATAATGAACCATGGGTATCTAGTGTTGTCGAGTGGAGTGTTATCTCCTCGACTAATCGGTATACTCGAGTATTACCACCAGTGTTTATCTTGGAGTTCGGGCCCGGTAAGGGGTTTGGTTGGTGGACGGAGATTGGAGTTAAGTGGTGATCTACTGGATTGGTTACTTTACTTGAAAGTTGACGGAGTGTCAACTAATATTTGATCAAGCTCTGGTGAAGCAATGGGAACATGGCTCCTGAGAGCCATCCGTATCCTTATACTTGGAAATGATTATTGCCTATTGGATTATTGTTTCTTTTAAAAACCAAAAGCACTTTACATTCGCTATGACAGCCCCACTTTCCCCTTAGGCGAACCAGAGGGTTCAGCGGACCGCCTGCCCAGCTCTCGCCGGGACTCAGTCGTTGACTCACACAAATCAGAAATAGAACCACAAGAAAGAGCAAAACTAGGATCCAAAACTTAAAACAAAACTTATATACATAGATATCTCAGAAGGAAGTACAACCGTCAATAAACAGAGGTTCTCAATTCACCATACAACCAGCCCATGCTAAGCACGAGAGCGAGAACCGTTACAAAAGAAAACCAAGAGCTAGACCCAGCTAGTCTATACAGGCTCTCATCCTTGCTCGCCTTCCCCTGTTAAGGAAAACAAACTAAAGGGGTGAGCTATAAGCTCAGTGAGGTTCCGAACACATAAGCAACAAGAAGTTCAATGCATTCATTACACGTTACTAATAATTCAAATACAAAAGAAAGCGATAAACACCTTCATTAAAAGGATACGTGCTCACAAGGAGCCATTCGTTCATTCATTCGTTCATTCATTCTCCTTTCGTTCCCTTATACCTTCAATCATTTGAAAATGCATTTGTATATAAATAAAACCCTCATTCATTCATTCGTTCATTCATTCATTCACCAGGCTCCACCAACCTCCACCAACCTACAAGGTAATACTCGAGTATACCAAAACGTTCACCCAGGTCCCTAATCGCCCGACCGAGTCCGCTTCTGGCTCGAGACAACCGGTAACAAGGGGCAGTGGCCAGTTCAGCCAAAAGGCTTACATTCATGCACAAATAACATTTCAATCATTGAATCATTAAAATTTTCACAATCATCTAGGCCGAGTGCGATAAAGTACACACTTGCCTAGAAGACTCGTTTTAACAATCATTGAAAGCATTTAACATATTATCAATCATTCATACCAGCCACATAGTCATGAAACATAACAAACAAGGAACACTCACCTATACACGCAAAATAACGTCCACTTCTCAATCACCAATGAAACCTAAAAGTAAACAAAGAACACATTACAATCCATCTAGCATGGTTTAGATGAAATCAAGGATTACCCGACTACTCGCGAGTAAACGTATAAAATGACTTTTAAAGTGTCAAAAGAGCATATGGATCCTTGGACGGAAATTACTAGGGTTCATAAACCAACCGCGAAACCAAACTCAAAAAGGTTATGAAATTTCCGGCAGAAAACACTTTAACCAACGACAAATCAAAATCCAATAAGGTAAGCTAAGAAGTATTGTTTCCGGAATTGTTTATGTAGCTCAAAATCAATAGACTCTATGCCTTGATGAAAATCATGAAAAGTGGCAAAACTATCTCCCTTTCACTCTTAAAACTTCACTTAAAAGTTATTCACTTGTGGCCGAGAGAACCCTAGGTCAACCTCTATATTTTGGTAAACAGTAAGTAAACGTTTGGAATTTCAACCCAAAGAGGTATTAGGTTTTCGAATAGTAAAATGATCATTTTATTTGCCAAGCGGAAATATACAGGTTCAAATAGAAATTTAGCCCTCGGCCACCTTTTGAAAGAGCCGGTAACATTTTCAGTAAATACGTCCAATTCGTCACAAAATACATTCACCAAATTACTTTAACTTGCTCACATTACAAGAAGATAAACGGACGGCATGTCCTTTGTGTTTACCTATTTTCCAGCCATTAATGGCTTCATTATTTTCCTCAAAACAGTCCCAACATCTCATATAGAATAATCTCATGTCCAAAAGCCATTCACTAGGCTTAAAGTCATGTAAATACAAAAATAAATACAAAAATCAAGCTAGAAACATTTCCGGATAAAAACAGTTTTTGACACCATTTTGCGGTTTTGGCACCATTGGCGCTACGATTATCGGATGAAGGTGCAAGACACACCGTTTTGAAGCTAACAAATAGGGCTAAAATGTTGAAGAAGGCCACTCAGTCCAGTTTGTAGTGAAACTAGGTCAAAATTGACATATATGAAACCAGAAACTCACAAACAGGTTGGCTAACCGCACAATTGTTAAACAGCAATAATTCAGGCTACCGAAGTCCGATTGAAGTGTATCTTATGGTGTTTCGAAGCTAAGACACAACCCTACATTTATTATGAAGACCTCCATGGCCAAATCCTGCATTTTCATGATCAAAAATGGAAAACTACACAAAAACAGAATTCTGGGCGCGAAACAGGTTTCAGGGACAGTCAATGGTATTTCGGTCATTTCACATGCTACAGTGGTCGGATCAAGCTGAAATTTTACAGGCTACTATTTTATACCATTGGATATAACTTTCATGTTTTGGTCAAAATCTAATTCGGTAAGGATAATGGTGAAAAGTCACGGTCAGATTGGGTGAAAAGACAACCCTGTTCGCTGAACTCCTACCTAGACCAGTCTGGGTATTTCCGAATTATCTCAGCATATACAACTCCAATTCCAGTGATTCCAAAGCTATTTGAAAGCTAAGATACAAGGCTATGATTCTTAAGAATACATCAACAACCAAATCGGTAGTATTCCCAGTCAAACTACCCAATTACCAAAGCTGATTATTATTCTCGGATAGAAACAGGGTAGCAGGGGTATTTCGGTATTTTCACAGGTTACCGAGCTCAGATTGAGCTGAAAATTTACAGGTAACTAGAAAACATCATTTTCTACAACTTTCATGTTTTGTCCTAAGGCCAATTCGGCCTCTAACCTGGTCAAACAGAAACGGGCAGAATTGAGGAAATGAAACCTTAACTGGAAATTTTTGCATTCAAGTCAGAAATTTTCCACTAAAACATCTCTTTAGCTATCACAAGTCATTAATTTAACATAATCAAGAACAAAGGAAGGATGGCTAGACATGATACCTTCAAATATCAAGAAAGGTGATGACTTAGGAATTTTTCTTCCAAAACAACTCCACTAGAAGCTTTAATCCTCCTTAATAAGTAACTTTGATGGAGTAATCTTCACTTTTAATGGTTAGAAATCAAGATTGGAGCAAGGGATTGAAGTACAAGATGAAGGATTTCCTCTCTTTTCTCTCCTCAAAATTTCAGCCAACAAGGTGAAAAATGAAGAAACATTTGGTCAAAATGGATGTTTAGTAAAGTTAAGAAAAGTTAGTCAAAGTCCCCATCCAATGGTTTCATGACACTTGTCCCTCTCATTAATGTCATGCCTAACTTTTTTTGTCTTTCTCACACCTATCCACTTGGTACCTCTAAATATCTCATAACACCCGATAAATTAAACCCAGTATCCAAAACTTAACCTAACTGGCCGAAATTTTCCGAATTTTGCGCACTAGTGGGTCCCACGTCCGATATACGCTCTTAATTTCTCAAAAACTAACCGATACTAGAAAAATCATTTAAAAACTATATTTACTCATAAAATTGATCTAGAAAAATTTTCTAATAAAGAAAATGCAGAAAACGTGCAATTAAGAAAAGTACGGGTCCTCACACTCTCTCCCCCTTAAAGAAATTTCGTCCTCGAAATTTTTACCTTCATTTGCCTCAGACGAGTCCGGAACTGTTTGGGTGCCTAACGCAGAAGCTTTTGCTGGCCCACTAGTTCGGTTCCCTCTTTCATTTGTTTGTTTTGTTTTAGCTCCCTCCAGTTGCGGAATACTACCTCCGCGTGACTGTCTCCTTGGACAGTTGCTAACTTGGTGCTCACCACTCCCACAAATCAAGCACTTCCGCCCTTTCCGCCAACAATCGTTCTCGGTATGATTGGCCTTTCCGCAATAGCCACAAGTCAGGTGAGAAGCCATCTTTTGGCTTTCTTGAGAAATTTCCCAGGTCCGATTTGGCTCCCTTTAGTAGACCTTTTATCTACCGCCCCTATTGTCCATGGTGGGTAGGACAAAAGATTTGTTTTCTGCGTTTTGGAAGGGACTATCGATTCACTTGGTTCCTCACTCATACTACCAGCTACACCTCTTTTCCGTGTTTGGGAGGCTTTTACTTGTGCCTTTGCATTCTCGATTCGTTGAGCCTTCTCAAGGGCCTCCGTAAATGTATTCACTTGCGCTGCTGCCAACGCCTCTTGGATGTCCAAATTTAGTCCTTGTATAAACCGTCTCACTCTTCTCGGTTCCGTGGCTACTAATTCTGAAGCAAACTTGGATAGTTTGGTGAATTTCGTTTCGTATTCAGCCACACTTAAGGTCCCCTGGCGTAGTCCAATAAATTCGTCCTCCCTCCTTTCTTGAACTAAGGGTGGGAGGTATTTCTCGTTAAATTCTCTTACAAAATTCGCCCATGTCCAGACAGTCTGTTCTCTTTCCCACTTTGTTCTAATTACATTCCACCATGCCCGGGCCGGTCCCTCAAATTGAAACACTGCAAAGTTCACCTGCCTCTGTTCAGTGTAATTCAAAGCTGTGAATATATTCACCATGGCCTCTAGCCATTGTTCAGCGATGTCCGGATCAGGCCCTCCAGCGAATTTTGGAGGTGCAAACTTCTGAAACCGCTCCAGAGCCTTATCCTCACCCGTCTCAG